TTATACACTATTCATGTGCTGTAGATGAGAACGAGTGTGAGGTAGGAAACCCCTGTTCTCACACCTGCCACAACGCCATGGGCACCCACTACTGCTCCTGTCCCCGAGGCCTCACTATCTCAGCTGATGGCCGGACCTGTCAGGGTACACAACACACACACACACACACAACCAAACAAATACACATTCTTGTACTTCTATGCCTAACCTAATTCTAAACCTAAAAGCAAGGGTTTGAAAAAGTGAGAACTGGTCAAAATGTCCTCACTCTGTAAGATCTGTGCTCAAAATAGTCCTCACAAATATATAAGTACAAGTACACACATGTATATACTGTGCCTGGATGAAACTTGGACTGCTGCTCTCCACCCTCTTAGACATTGACGAGTGTTCACTGGGCGGTAACGTGTGTCACGATGGAGAGGACTGTGAGAACACCATTGGTTCCTACCGATGTGTCATGCGCTGTGGGCGCGGTTTCAGGAGAACAACCGACGGTCTCAGCTGCACAGGTACGTCAACGCGTTTCACTGATCACCCGGAGTCCTTCATTGAATTTTTTTAATCGTCACGTGTCTTATGTTGCTCAGATGTGAACGAGTGTCAGGAGTCTCACCCGTGTAATCAACACTGTCTCAACACCATCGGCAGTTACCGCTGCGCCTGCGAACCAGGATTTCAACTCAGGAACCGACGCTGTGTTGGTGAGATTCCTGCTTCACCTGTAATCTTCAACATTAAAGCAACACTGTAACTTTAACTGACCGTCAGCGCCCCCTGCAGACACACATGGTGAACTGAATCAGAACTGAATGGTGGATATTATCCATGGCGTCCTGAAGCAGAAGAGCTGTTCAGAATTCATATTTTAAAAGTTGCCCTGATAAATATTGGATTTAAAGGCTGGTTTTTAACGTCTTTTTAATTGATCTACAATTCAGCATTGCTCCGATAATTATGATTGAAATATTATGTGAAATTATTTTTTCCTGGAAGAAATGACTCAACTTTTATTTTTGCCTCTTCTCTTTTCTCTCTCGCCTCAGATATCAACGAGTGCAGACAGAGGGTCTGTCGTTCAGATCAACAGTGTAAAAACACACGCGGTGGTTACACCTGTATCGACCTGTGTCCCAACGGTATGACCAAAGGTGCCAACGGGACATGTGTAGGTGAGCGTCCAGCCAGAGTTACGTTACTATGTTGGACAGAATCAGCTGACGGACAAATATGAAACAATAAAGACTCTCAGAGAATTCAGTTTTGCACTGTGTTTGATTACTTCTGTATTTTTAGTCATGGGGTTAACAAATTGAACTGTGCTGTCTGTCGTAGACATTGATGAGTGCAGAGATGGAACCCATCAGTGCAGATACAACCAGATCTGTGAGAACACCAGAGGCAGCTACCACTGTACGTGTCCACGTGGCTACAGATCTCAGGGAGTAGGACAGGCCTGCGTCGGTACGTACACTCTTTGTTGTCTTTACGCTGTCACCACCTCATCAGTAATGGATAAAAGAGGAGCAGGAACTGTAAACAGCCTAATGTTTAATTGAGGATATTCAGCAAAGCATCGGCCAGCAGTTTGAAACACCACTGCCCTGCATCAGCTTTCTTGCTTCTGCCAGCTCCTCCTCTCTGTGTGGGTGACTCACTCCTGTTGAAAGTCTAAAATAACATCATCTGCAGTCTAGTTCTGATACAAGATTCTGCTGCTTGCTTGCTCACATCTCTGAAATGCTGTAACTGAAACGGCTTGTTTAACTCCTAACAATAAATGCAAAGACCGGTTTCTTTATTACAGAGATCTAGTGCATGGCGTCATACTGTCCAAAGGTTGATTCTAAGTGTCCTTGTCTTCACTGTCAGATAAGAGTCAGGGTGAGAGAGGACTCCAGAGAGAGAAATTGCAAAAAGCGGTTCCTCATTGACACATCGACATAAAAAGACCAGCACCGTCACAGCTCTGTCTTTCACTCTGCTTCCTTTCCCTCTTTTCCAATATCCCCTTTATGTGTGAATCTGGCTATTTCCTGGTGTTGCTTTGTAATGGCATTCATTCCCCCGTGACATCATTAACCCTGGACGTTGATGTCTGTCTGTCAAAAACTGTTCATGTGTATATCACATACCACCTGATGTCATTTCTTGGGATGAAATGTGCAATAGACTAGAATTCTTTTCTTGGATATGATGAGATCAAATCAGTCTCTCATTCAAATTCCACAAATGTGATTATAATGTCAATACATTTCTGTCTCAGAGACATGAATGTATTGTTGAACATTGGGGTAATTAACATATCCCCTTTTTCCCCCTCATCCTCATCTTTCTCCTCTGTTTTCATGGCCCGCACCATTTCACTTGTTCTTTTCATATCCCCTCCTCTCTCGATTATTATTTCCGTACCTTTGTCTCCTTCTCTTCTATCACTCTCTCTTTTCCTGGTGCTGGTCTTTCTTTGTGCTGAGGGCAGACATAAATGAGTGTGAGGGGCTTCCACAGCCCTGTGCCCACCAGTGCATCAACACCCCAGGCAGCTACAAGTGCACCTGCCCGCCGGGCCGCCACCTGCTGGGCGACGGCAAATCCTGCGCTGGCCTGGAGCGTCTGCCCAGCTATGAAAGTTACTCTTACGGCTACCGCACATCTCAGTCGTCCCCTGAGCGCAGTGCCAACCAGCAGCTGTACCACAACCTGGCGTCTCAGAGCTACCACTCCTACGCGGCCACCTCAAGGAGGCGCTATAGGAGCCGTAGCCGCAGAGAGACTCGTACACATTCAGCACAGCTCAGCATCCTCGCATGTCAGCAAGGGTTTGAGTCCAGGGGTGGCCGCTGCTTAGGTAACTATGGAGGACAGGCAGGGATGAGATGAGGGAGAGATGCTTCACTGCTGATTCAGGGTTTGTTGAAAATGTGAACTGGGAAGTTTGAAATGGGCTTTAATTTTCTGTGTGTGTCACCGTCAGACATCAATGAGTGCGAGGTGAGGGACGCCTGTCAACACGAGTGTATGAACACACCTGGGAGCCACAGGTGTCTCTGTCCCACTGGTTATCGCCTCATGACCCACGGCAAAACCTGTCAAGGTGAGAAACGCCAACTTCTTCCTGGAGCTGTCAACGTCACATCATCGGGGGGGAATCATCCTCCAGTTTGACCTGAGTTTACTTCTGTATCCACAGATATAGACGAGTGCCAGGAGCAGAACATCCAGTGTGGAGCGAACCGAATGTGCTTCAACATGAGAGGAAGTTACCAGTGCATCGACACACCCTGTCCACCGAACTACCAGAGGGATCCAGCCACAGGGTAAAACTCTGCAGAAACACACTCACTTAGGAACTGAGGCATCAGGCCTCTACAGTGGCCCAGTTCCGATTCTAACCTCCGGCCCTTTGCTGTGTGTCACTTCTCTTTCTCTCCCACTTTCACACTTGCAGGTTCTGCCTGAAGAACTGTCCACCTAACGACCTGGAGTGCACGCTGAGCCCCTATGCGCTGGAGTACAAGCTGTTGTCTCTTCCCTTCGGCATCGCGGCCAATCAGGACCTCATCCGGCTGGTGGCCTACACACAGGACGGCGTGATGCACCCCAGGACCACCTTCATCGTGGTGGACGAGGACGTCACGTTACCCTTCGCCCTGCGAGACGAGAACCTGAAGGGAGTGCTGTTCACCACGCGGGCGCTGCGAGAGCCCCACACCTACCGCATGAAGGTCCGAGCCCTCTCCTACAGCGAAGACGGAGGCATCGAGTACCAGACGACCTTCATCGTCTACATCGCCGTCTCTGCCTACCCCTACTGAGAGCACTTTAAAACGACGTGACACTGAGGTGCGGCGGTGAATTGTGGTGTGAACGTGTGAGTGGTTGTGGAGAAGAAGCCACATCATTGAACAGACTGCAAAAAGACTTATTATGAGCAGCACACAGCCCCGGAGACACGAGGGGGTAGAGAGGGAAACAAGCAACAGGAGGTTTGGATCAGCGCAGATCTCTGTAAACCTCCAGTCTTTTAGGACAACTCTTCAAATATTTGATATTCGGAATTATTTATAACACAATCAAACGAGATTTTGCTCCTCGAAGCCAAAACGTCCACCACTCTCTCAGAGAGAAGGCCTCAGCCCCGATTTAGAAATCTTTGCTTGTCTCTTATTTACATCTATTAACTTATTGGGAAGTGCTTGAACAGGAAACAGTTCCCTCGTCTGTTTATCCCTCGTGTAATCGCTCGCCGCAGTGGAGCAGTGACTGATGGTGCTCATCGTGAAGATGGAGAACTCGACTGTCACGTGTTCTACAGCCTCAGGTAGCGACCCCTCGTACACTCAGTTAGAAACCCCCCCATCAATAAGTACACTGATTATTACATCATGAGTCACGCTCCATCCAGTAGTTCATACCAAGATGTATTTTATTTTAATGACTTGTACATATGTTTTTCTCATAATGTATTGCCATACTGTACTTAATCTATCCATTTTTTAATAAAAATGCAATAAATGAATATACACTGAAATCAAGTGTGATGTGTGTCTGCAGCCGCACAGCACTGAGTCATCAAGAAGCCAATCTCAAACCTCAATACCATTTCTGTGCATATAAAACACAATCAAACATCTCGACAAAGTTCTGATCAGCATTCATACTTTCTTTATTGTCAAAAAAGCACAAACATAAAAAAGGAATATTCAAGTAAGGCAGTTTGTACATCGCTGTGTTGAGCTTCGTCGTCCTGCCTTCGGCTGGAGGAGCAACTCTGACTAGAAAAACAAGAAGCAGGAGAAGTTCTGCTTCCTGTTCTCATGTAAAACTAACCGTTACTGCATGAGAAAACATCTCTAATGTCTTGCTGCATCGTCACTGATGACATGACGACTCATGTCTGAATATCCACTGGTGAAAAACAGTTTTTTTTGTTTTTTTCCAAAAGTAACATCGACTGTGAAATCCATGATTAACTTTCATTAATCAAACGACACCATGTTTAACTGAATTATGAGGATTTTCACATCAAATCAAATGTTTTTTAATTGTAACACACTGTTTCTAGGTTCATGTGTTTCATGTGAACATGTAATAACTCAAGCAAGATAAATCATTTGGCAACAGACACAATCCACCTCATATGGCAGACGACTCTTTCCTGTTTTCCTCATTACATAAAGGTATATGTGGTCGTAACAGTATGATTTCTACTGGAAGACAATACTGTGTGTGGAGGATTTCATATAAAAATCCTATGGCGTGAAATTCAACAGATTCGATACAAAAATCACACAAAACATGTACAAAAGACGAGTATGAAATGCTCGAGAAAATACTCAGTCAGAAATGGGATCATGCAAACTGTTTTAAATCAATTGAAACTCGCTCTGTTTGTAAAGACACCAAAATATTCATATTATTATCTTCATCGGGAAACAATTTTTTTGTAAACCTGGTATTTCATTTCAGTCGAGTGAAAAATACTGAAACAAAATCAAAACAATTTAATCCTGGATGATCTTTCCTGTTAAATATCAAAGTTAAACTAAATGTCAGGGTGATGTCATTTTCCTGACAGCCCAGAGAACCGCTCCTGTGAGCAGCGGAGCCTCGTTCAGCTCCGCACAGCGGCAGAGCGTCACACATTAACAGGATGGAAGGAACGGGATTAATAAAGAGTGGTGGTGGAGATGCATCGTGGGTAATAATCCTTAACTAGGGCAGCGGGCAGTGTGAAAGGATGGTTGGTTGGATGGATAACATCGGAGCTCCCCCTCCTCCACTCCACCCCCCTTCATGAGGGAGATGCACAGAAGCACAACACCCCCCCCCCCCATGGGAGAATCCACCGCCCTCCATCTGTGATTGTGCTTTTCAGGAGACACCCCCCCCGTTGAAGTGTAATAGTGGGATGCAGTGGGAGGATTTACAGTCTGAGAATCAGGTTGTTGTTTTCCTGAGTGAAACGAAGCAGAAGCTGACTTCCACCCAAACACATCTTCTGTGTGTTTGGGTGGAAGTCAGTGGGGGGGAGTCAGGAGGAGTTCTCACTGAGTTTGTGCTCATGTTGAGAGTGGAGGTAGGAAGAAACCAGAAAACCCATTTTTAACATAACGTGACCCAGATTATATGTTTTCCTATTCAGCCTTGATCACATTGAGTTAAAAATCCGTTTTTCCATTTTAGCCTCCTCTACCATCTGTTATGTAACATGAACCGTGCAGTGACATGCTCCCCTTGTATCAGTGATGTGGATTGAACCGATCCCCTGTTCCTCTTTTAGACCGTCTTCCTCGCGGTTAGAACCCGCACGATGCTGCCCACTCCTCCGGCTGCCAGAGCCTGGAGACACACGGGAACATTACATGTGAGCGGGCAACGTTTGAAGCAGAGTTTCCGCTGATCTGCGGTAGCTTACCTTCTCGTGCCACTGCAGCAGGACCGCGCTGCTGTTCTCCGACGGCCTCTCGAAGCCCTTGTATATGTATTTCATCAGCAGGTCCACGCCGTTCTTATCGAGAGACTGCACCCCCTTCTCAATGTCACTGCTCTTAAAGGCACTGAGCACTTTCAGCACCAGACCCTCAGCCCGCTCCTGGAACAAAGACGATCATGGATTTGTTTGGGTGTGCGACTACAGAAGTGAGTATCCGGACAGATCTTTATCTCTGGTGTATGTTTGCAAGAATTCACTTCAGAGTGAGGAAAGCTGAGGAATAAATCCACACCCACCTTGACGTTCTGGTTCTTGGTGTTGATTGGTGGGTTCTTCAGAACGGCGTGTAAAGCCTCCACGAGGTTTCCTGTGCAGGGTGCGGTTAAGGGTGCAAAGCAGGAACCTTCACAATAATCACCATATTCACTACAAGCTGTAAATGTTTCATCTTCTCAGGTTTTAGATCAGTTTTGCCGTCAGTGTGTGTCAGTGTGTGTCAGTGTGCTTTATGTCTGCAGGCCGGGGTGGATTGTTTTTATTTATCAAATAACATTTCTTTTCTACAAAGACACGAATGAGAACCTTAAAAGTGGTTCACGATTTTTCCAGGTCTGTCCTGAAACAAAGATTTACTGCATCATTCCTCCTGTTCATACTGACTGTGGAGCAACACACATGTAACTGACGGAGGATAAAAGTTCCTATTCAGGCAAAAATAGAAGAAGACGTTCAACGGGAACTAAGATTCAGTATAATTGAGTTAGACAAAAATAAAGTGAGCGACTTCCCCTGTTTGTCGTTTTCAGTGACAGTTTCTTGCCTGAGATGCAGACGTGGGTCAGTAGCACATAAAATAACATTTGTACTAAAAGCACAAACTTTGAAAGATTTCTCAAACGTGACCTGCTGAAGCTTTACAGTAGTTTTCACATAACTTTAAAATGCTTTTTTTTTTTTTTTACAAAGTACAAGCCCTTTTGAATTAGACAAGAATGCTTTTCTTTAAATGTTCATGTTCTGAGTATTGTGCTTGGTCTGTCTTCAGATTCTCCTGCACTAAGGTGGGAGGTTACTGTCAGATTCAATGAGGAAATGAGCACTTCCATACCTTATAAGGCCTGTAAGACTGAAGCCATCGTCTCAGCAGCACTTCAAACACAACATACACTTCTCTGTAGATACTTCAAATATATCTGTGAATACATCTGAGAGAATACTACTAGTAACTTTCCCTGCATGGCACCGAAGCACCCGGCTAAGCTTCTCTCCAGCCTCTGATAAGGCTGCGTTAGATGTTTCTGTCCAGTATGAAGACAGAGGGTGACGGGACCTTTGCTGTCAGGTCCCCAACCCTATGGAGGACTTACGAGACGTCACTGTGCGTTTTGAATTGGACTGATTTGTCGCTCTGGGACACGTTGAGACAAACCTCCTAATCATCACAGGTGTTTCAATCAGTCCCATTGACATCGGTTGGACCAGGGTCCTTACTTCCAGTGAAGAGAAATCTTACTGCTTCAGCTCACCGAAGACATTTTGGAAGATTTAGGCTGAAAACTTAGTTTGAATGACCTCGTTTCAAGTCACACACTTCACCCACCCTTCCATCGGCAGAGTGGTGAGTAGATGATGAGTGACTGTTCAATTTTAGGTGTAATGTGTAGGTGTCGCGAAACCTGTGTCCTTTTTTAAGTGATGTGGCCTTTGATACCTTCTATAGTTGTTTATATAATGCGTGCTGCTATATAAATACAAATGACTATAATAATTGTTGTTGTTGTTGATGTTATATGACAACATCAGACATCCAGGAGCTGCACATTGTGTACAAACAGAACCAGCTGTACCTCCCTGTGTCTGAACAAGCCTCCTGGATAAGATGTAGTCACACAGAAGTACTCCTGCAGAAATACATGAAAGTTACTCAGGGCATTTGCGGGCTGTCGTGGAGGCCGTGTACTTAAACACGTATACTGTGCATACATATACTGTGGAGCCTGGGAGCAGAAATCCCTGGAATGTGACTGTCAGGCAGGTCTGGACAGTGACCGGCCTGCAGCAGCCTGACGCCCCCTCACACAGACTGACACGAACCAGCAGATCGACCTGAGCCCTGGACCCACAGTGTGTGTGTGTGTGTGTGTGTGTGTGTGTGTGTGTGTGTGTGTGTGTGTGTGTGTGTGTGTGTGTGTGTGTGTGTGTGTGTGTGTGTGTCCAGCTCTGACAGGCACCGTGTGAAGGATATTGTCTGATGAGGGAGTCCACCTCCGCCTCGTCGGGACCCAGCTGGTTGTCTCCTCCGTCCTCCTCGTCCACGAACTTGTTCTCGTCGTACTCGTCCACGTCCACTCGCCGGAAGGTTTTCGCCGACATGTCGCTTCTGTGGATTTTTATTCCGAAACCGAAATGTTTCCGATTTAAAAACAAAGAAACGTGTCAGAGCTTCTGCTTCTCGCGTCTGTCACTCACAGCGGCGCCCTCTTCTTCTCTTCCCTTCTGCTCTGCGACGTCTAGGTGAGGCCCCGTGCGCGCGCTGTCGCCACCTAGGGGAGGGGGCTCGGAACTGCGGGTCACCGTCTGCGTTCCCCCGTGTCGGCCACTAGAGGGCGATCAAACCTAATAAATTGTTACAGTGGGAGGGAGAGAGACGGAGAGAGGGAGAAAGAGAGAGGGAGAGAGAGAGACGGAGGGAGGGAGGGAGGGAGGGAGGGATAGACAGATGGATAGATAGATAGAAAGACAAATAGACAGATAGATAGATAGATAGACAGATAGATAGATAGATAGATAGATAGATAGATAGATAGATAGATAGATAGATAGATAGATAGATAGATAGATGGATGGATGGATGGATGGATGGATGGATGGATGGATGGATGGATAG